CCCTCCTCTTAGGTTTGTGGTTTTTTGCTTTAAAAATCTGATGCTTGCCTACAATAAACATCGCCTTGATCAGATTCCTGTCTTGGCGTCCTTCTTTCACTCCTTGCCCCATCTCCACCCGACCCTGTTTCAGGTTTGATACACTGCTGGACAGTGCTCTGTGTCACTGGCTCACGACATGATTTCTCATTCTTTATGGCTGAGTAGTACTCCATTTTGGAAAGAATCCCACATTTCTTTATACAGTCTGCAGATGATGGGCAATTTTTTGCAGTCTTTAGTTGTTACATATTGTGCTACTATGAGCCTGGGTGCACATACATCACTGTGGTATGATTCTTTTGAGAAGATACACAACAGGGGAATAGCTAAGTCAAGTTGGACCTCTGATCCTAGTTATTTGAGGAATCTACGTACTGAATTCCAAATAGTTGCACCAGTCTACACTTGCAAAAACAGTGGAGCAAGATTCCTTTTTTCCAACAGAGGTACCAGCATTTGTTATTGATTGATTTTATAATAGCAGCTGTGATAGGTTGGTGGGATTTTCTTGCTCTGAAGTAAAATATTCATACAGCTCTAAAGAATGTCTCTGTTCTGTTTAACTTTACAGTTGATGGTGCTTACAAAAGCACACCTGCTGCCTACCCCAAGCTCCTAAAGTCAAGCTTTCATGCTTGTATCCCCATACGCCAATCACAACTTGGCTAAGAAGTAGTCTTTTCTGCGTATGAATTCATATAACAAAGAGTGCCTTTGGCAACCTCTTCAGGTTCCCTTCTGGGTTTAACCGCAGGATGAGTTTGCTTTTGTTTTACAATAAATTCTGCTTTCTGCCAGGCTAATTTGTTCTGGTGAAGGGGACTCTTCCCTTAGGGATCCTGGAAAGTCAATCAGAGACAGACTCATCAGCGTTACCTGATGTGCACCTGTGGTTGCTTCAGGAGACATAAGTAGTCATCGGATGCTCCTTTTGTTTTCTTTCAAAGCATCTCTAGGTAGGGGATTCATTCTGTAGCGAATGAAGAAGTCTGAGTCTTCTAATAAGATATGTTCTGAGGTACATGACACCATATTCTGAGCTATATATGCTTTGTAATTAACATGTTCATCACCTCATTACAGCAAGTCTTCATTTCCTCCACTTAGAAGCACTTTAGAACAGCAAAGTGAAACGATGCTCTGCTGTAGGAACTGTGCAGAATATCTCACTCTCAAAGACTGCATAGCGCAAGTGAGTGACAAGTGTTCTAGGTGATTTCTTGATATCTCTATACATTATGCAATTTTGAAAATAAAGGTGACAGACGACAAGTATATTTTTGTAGCCTGCTGTTTTATTTAACGGAGTGTACTGGAAACCTCAATCAAGTCATGTCAACAGCACACTCTCTTCACGATGTAACTAATATCCTTCTTTTGCATCCACCTAGTTGTTTCTTCACACCCTTCTCCCCTTCATTCCCTTCCCCTTGTTAAATAATAGTCTCTCTTCTACTTTCATGTTATCAATTTTAGATTCCACATATTAGGAAAATACAAAATGCTCATCTGTCGGAGTCTGATTTATTTCACATAACATGAGGATCTCCAGTCCCATCCGTTTTCTGGCTCGTGACTTAACTCCATTCTTCTTTATGGCTGAATAACACTCCTCGGTGTAGATGTGCCACATTTGGTTTCTCAGTCACCTATTGATGAGCGCCCGTGCTGGTTCCGCCTCTTGGACATCGTGAACGTTGCTGCAAGAATCATGGGTGTGCAGGTGTCCCTGTAGCACGCTGACTTTAGCTCCCTTGGGTATATTCCAAGAAGTGTTACATGTGGCCCACATGGAGCTCGCTTTTAGACCTGAGGAGCCCCATACTCATTCCCATAGGGGCTGTGCTAATTCCCTTTCCCAGCAGCAGTGTGGGGATGTTTCTTCCCCCTTTCTCCACGTCCTTGTCAACATTTATTGTTCTTTGTATTCTTGCCAATGGCTGTTCCAACTAGGGCGACATAGAATGGCAATGTAATTTTTCTTTTTTTGGTACTGGGAATTGAACTCAGTGTCTCTTGCTTTCTAGGCAGGTGCTGCACTGCTAAACTGTATCCTTGGCATTCAAAATAGTTTTGATTTGCATTTCCCTGATGGCTAAAGACATTCAGTATTTTTGCATATACGTATTGGTCACTGAACCTTCTTTCGAGCAGTGTCTGTTCATTTGCCCAGTTATTGATTAGGTATATGGGTTTTTGTTGTTTTTTATGTTTGTTCTGTACATATTGTAGGTATCCACCTGGTGTCAGAAGAGTAGATGGCAAAGATTTTCTCCCATTCTATAGGCTGTCTCTTTCATCTATTGGTTGCTTCCTTTGCTGTGAAGAAACTTTTTTGTTTGACATAGCCCCATTTGTTGATTCTTGCTATTATTTCTTGTATTATGGGCATCCTATTAAGGGAGCGTTTGCCCATATTTATGAAGTTATTTTTCCCCTATATTTTCTTTTTTCCTTTTTTTGAGGGGGTAGATACTGTGTTCAAACTCACGACCTTGTGCTTACGAGGCAGGCCTGAGCTAAATGCCACTGAGCTAAATCCCCAGCCCTCCTCTATGTTTTCCTCTACAGTTTCAAATGTTCAGGTTTTACAGTTAGGTTTTTGATCCATTTGGAATGATTTTTGTACAGGGTAAGATATAGCTCTCTAGTTGCAGTATTCTACATATGCTTATCCAGTTTTCCCAGCACCATTTGGAAAGAAGGTTTTATGCAACATGTATTTTTACCCCTTTGTCAAGTGTCAGATGGCTGTAGTAGTGTAAACTTGTTTCTTTTTTTAAATTTTAAAGTTCTTATCAGTATATGTATGAGACACAAAATGATTCTATTAGTCATGGAGAGTTGGTGTAGGCACATGACCCCTTCATTCTTTGTATTTTCCCTTTCTCTCTCCTCGCTTCCATCTCTCTCCATCTCTTTGTCCCCTTTCTATTTGCCAATTATCTGCCTCCTCATTTTCTGTTATCTATCTTTTATTTTATTCCTAAAATTACTTATAATTTGAGCCTCTCATTTAAGAGAAACCATGCTACCTTTGAGCTTCTTTGTCTGGTTTATTTCACTTTATGTTATCTCAAGGTTTGCCCATTTTTCTACAAATGACTCAGATTTATTTTTAGCAGAATAGTAGTCTATTGTGTATTAACACAGTACTATATTTTCTTCATCTACTGACAATCTCCATCACTTTTCTTCATCTACTAATCTGTTAATTGACATATAGATTTAGCTATTATGAATTGTGCTGCTATAAATATGGGTGTGCATGTATCAGTGTAATGTGATGTTTTTAACTTTTTCTGGCACTTAGGAGGGAAAGAGCTAGGTCAAGTGGACCTTGTATGGTTAGGTAAATTTTTCCATTGTGGTTGTACAAGTTTACATTCTTACCAACAATGGATTATTAATTCTTTTCTAGGAACTTCAGGTATATCTTTACATTACTTATTTGAGTTTCTCTGTTTTTCTGATGTGGAAATTCACAGGTATGAACTTTCCTCTTAGGAATGCTTTCATTGTATCCCATAGGTTATGGTATGTTGTACTGAAATTATGGTTTGATTGAAGAAACTCCCTTTAACTTTTTCTTTGATTTCTTCTATGACCTACTGATTATTCAAGAGTGTGTTATTTAATATCTAGGTGTTTGTAAAATGTCTGTGGTTTCTTTTGCTATTGTTTTCTTGTGCCTTGTCAGCTGGTACTCTACGTGGGATAATTTTGATTCTTTTGTATTTGTTTAAGCAAATTCTACTGGCCAATATGTGGTCTCTTTTGAGGGCAGCTTCATGTGCTGCTGAGGAAAGTGCATACTGTGTCATGTCATAGTAGTGTAGAACACTCTGCAGATATCAATTAGGAATACGTGTTTGAAGGTGTGGTTCAGCTCTGATATTTCTTTTTTGATTTTTGTGCACTTGATCTGTTTGAAATTCCCCATTTTTGTGGTGTTGATGTTTATTTGATATTTTCTGTCCAGCAGTGCTTGTTTTATGAAGTGTGGTGTGCTGGTAATTGATGCATATATCTCAGTTGTTATCTCTTTCTGTTGAATTGTTCCTGGAACCAATATGCTGTGACCCTCTTTGCCTAATGTGATCTGTTTGGGCTCAAATCTCACATCTTCTGAGAATTGCATTGCTACCCCTGCTGGCTTTGTGGTCATAAACCACTGAGTATTGTTTTCCATCCTTTGCTTTGGCTATTATGTCTTTTCTGTTTCCATATGAAGTTTTGGATTCTTATTCTAGTTCTGTGATGAATGTCATTAGAATTTTGATAGGGATTGTACTGAATCTGGAGACTGCTTTAGTAATATGGCCATTTAGATAATATTTATTGGCCCTGGGATATAGATCACTGGTGCCACCACCTGCCCTACAAGCGCAATGTTCCAAGTTTAATCCCTGTTAACCCCCCCGCCAAATATTCTGCCTGGCTGGGCATGGTGGCTCATGCCTGTAATGTCAGCACTGGGGAGGCTGAGGCAGGAGGATCACTGCAAGTTTGAGACAACCTGGGCTACACAGTGAGTTCTAGTTCAGTCTCAGCTACTTACTGAGACCCTGTCTCAAACCACCCCCCACAAAAAATTCTGCCAGTCTATGAAAATGGAAAGTGCTTCTATCTGCTGGTGTTTCCCTCAATTTCCTTCTTCAGTGTTCTGAAATTACAACTGTGGAGTTCTTTTATCTTCTTGTTTATATTAAATATCATATTTTTCAAGCCATTGTGAATAAAATTATTTTCTGATTTCTTTCTTAGCTAATTATTGGTAGATAGAAAAGCTACTGACTTATTTTTTTTTCTTTCTTCTTTTTATTTAATTTATTTTTTTGATGTGATACTGGCCTTGCACTTGCCAGGCAAGTGCAGTGTCACTGAGTGACATCCCTGAACCAGCAATTGATTTTTTAATGTTGATTTTTTAATATCCTACTTCTGGCATTTTAAGACTACATTCCATGTTGGGATTGCAGGATTCTCTTCAATGCGGTCTTCATGTCCTTGTTTCTCAGGGTGTAGATAAGGGGGTTGAGCACTGGGGTGATCACACAGTAGAAGAAGGACATGAACTTGGCCTGAGTGTTATTGGCTGGAGGCTGGAGGTACATGTAGATGGCAGGACCAAAGTACATGGTGACCACTAGCAAGTGGGAACTGCAAGTGCTGAGTGCCTTGTGCCTGCCTTCAGCTGATGGTAACTTCAGTACAGCCCTGGCAATGAATGTGTAGGAGATGAGCACTGTCAGGGGAGCAAACAGTGCAAAAATGATGGCTCCTATAGCCAGGGTCAGCTCATTAGCTGTGGTGTCTCCACAGGCCAGCTTGATGAGCAAAGGGACCTCACAGAAGAAGTGGTCCAGGGTGTGGTGCCCACAGAGGGGGAGCTGGAGCGTGAGTGTGGCTTGAATCAGAGAATTGGCCAGGCCACTGGACCAGGATGCAGCTGCCATCTGCACACAGACCCAGGCACGCATGATGAGAGTGTACTGGAGGGGCCGGCAGATGGCCACATAGCGATCAATGGCCATCATGGCCAGCAGGGCACATTCAGTGCATCCTGTCCAGTGAAAGAGGTAGGCCTGTGTGATGCATCCCCAGGCAGAAATGGTCTTTTCTGGTGTGCAGAGGTTGGCCAGAAGCTGGGGCACAGTGATACATGTGAGACTGAGGTCCAGCAGAGAGAGGTTGTCCAGGAAGAAGTACATGGGTGTCTGGAGTCTGGGGTCCACCAGGGAGAGTAGGATGATGGAGCTGTTCCCCATCAGGGTGAGGAGGTAGCAGATCAGGACCACTGCAAAGAGGGGCTTCTCCAGCCAGGGAAACTCTGAGAAGCCCAGCAGGACAAAAGCATTGGGAAAACTCACATTTTCTCTTTCCATCGCTCCTGGCTTGTATTAACCTAGAAGGCAAGAGATGGGAACATTTGAAGATGTGCAGTATTTTTGAGTTTTAATAATTTCACTGCAGCATCCTCAGCTTTTTAATTTCTTTGGGTAATGAAAATTCCCATAACAGTTCAGAAAATTTCTTTTTTTAAAAATTGAATTTATTGGTACATTCTAGGTAGACAGCACAGTTACATTCATTACTGAGATCTTGTACCTTTGCATGCCAGGTCTTGGTTCTCATTTTTTCCCCTTGTCCCGACTCTCCCTTCACCCCCTCGTCCCCTCCCCACCTTCAAACACTTTAATTCCATTTTTACATTTTCTCATAGTTTTTTCCTTTTCCCTTATTCCCCTTTCCCTATCCTTCTCACTGTCCCTACACCTCAGAAAAGTTCTTGAATGTTTGGATTATACTCTCGTACTCTGTGACTTGAAAGTCAGGATAAAGACAGACAAAGACATGATGAGAAATTCTATGTAGAGTTGAGTTCATTGAACCATCTATCTGTGTATATGAGGACGTCTCTCCATCACTGTCTGTCTGCTCAACTCTCCATTAAAGGAAACCCCCACTTCCATTCACTGATTGTCACGTTCTGTGGTCATGTAGGAAGGGCCTCATGGTCCCTTGCATTTAGGGCACTGCTTTCAGGAGTGTTGCGTAGGACTCTGCCTCATATTTCCTGTCAGTCTAGACGGGTGAGGGGTCCTGAGGCTCAGTAGCACTCTGGGGAAGCTGAGAGAGGCAAAGTGGCTGTGAATTTCTGTGGGGCGGGAAGCCATCAAATGGGGTCCTTCTGGGGAATTAGTGATCTGCACCCCCATTTTTGCATTGGAAAGTTCTAACATCCTGCTCTATTTCAACAACTTTCAAGCACACTGCTGAATCATGTTGTGTGCCTTCACAGGTTTTTTTCCTGCTCCTAACACCACTTTCTATTTTACAAGACTGAGGTCAGGACACAGGGCCTCCACGCTCCCTCTCCAACTCTGGCACTCACCGTTCCCATGCATTACCTACAGTTGTGGTTGCTGTGAATAACTCAGAGAAATAAAATGTTGCATTATTTGCAATATTGTGTGTGCTTATTTACACACATCACTTAAACTTTAGAACTGTTACGTAACACGTCTTTTCGCATATAGTGAACTTTTCCAAATTATCAGTGATTTTTCTTTGACTGCAAACATGTGAAAGTTTACTAAACCATTATGCTGTAATATCTAGAAGAGTAGAAAATACAGAAGTCTGAGATTAAATACTCACTAAATTTCATGAAGAACCCTGAGTAATCCAGAGGACATGACCAAATAAAGGGCCCACGAGCACTGCATGAAGTATGGTCAGCAGCACTGAGATCCTGGGGGACCAACACTGGGACAAGGCCTGGTACACTCTTGAGGCCTTAACCGTGATCTGTGCTTTCTTCTGAGGGAATTGGTACTTAAAAGCTTTTTCTAAAAGACAGAAACTCTTCACTCATCCACATCAAGGTATAGTGAGTAAATAGAGGCAGAACAAAGCTTGACTTTCAGTTGTTTCTGCCTTTATTACCTTAAATCTCAGATTCAGACCTCTTTCATCTCTTGCTTCAGCATGTTGGCCATGTAGGGAGTGTCTGTCTCCAAAGGTCAACACAGGGTGGAGTAGCCCTGCATTTACATAGCCCTTCTCCTCCCCTTCATGACAGAGGACACAGGATAAGGGATTTACAGGGACATTCAGTTATTGATGAGAGCAGGAAGTCTCTGTCACTGCTTCCGCTGACATGGAATAAAGGAGAAACTGAAAACAGACTCTGCGAAGCAGCAAAGAACATCGCATAGAGACTGCATTTTGCCCTGTCATGCTAAAGATTTCTCTCCAACCATGGTAAAAGCCCAAACTAAGACATTGATCAAAGTGACCCTAGCCCTGCCAAGCCCTTGTACGAAAACTGACTCATTCCTTTGTTTGTGGCCCAGGCCGATCCCTTCCATCAGAGTTGTGCCTTCTTCAGCTGCTCAAGTTGAAATCCCTCTCCCATTTCCTCTTACTTTCTAACTCTGCCCAATGAATCAGCCTGTGTCTTTTACTGACCCCTCCTGGAATCCTTTCCTGTAATCAAGAACCTGCCTGAGCCCAGTTGGGGTGCACATCTCCTCTTGGAGTGGGGATTCCTTGGACTCTGTCCAGTGAGGGTCAGATTCAGGTTAGTTTTAAGCAAAGGTAAAAGACAGGAGGATGTGGAGAGTGAGGATTGGATGTTGGGTGTGGGCTCTGTGTTTAGGGGTGGAGGTGGGGAATAGGGAATTGGGTGGTGTAGCACATCTCCTCTTGGAGTGGGGATTCCTTGGACTCTGTCCAGTGAGGGTCGGATTCAGGTTAGTTCTAAGCAAAGGTAAAAGACAGGAGGATGTGGACAGTGAGGATTGGATGTTGGATGTTGGGTGTGGGCTCTGTGTTTAGGGGTGGAGGTGGGGAATAGGGAATTGGGTGGTGTCTCCATCGAGAGTGCTCCTCTCTAACCACGTTCTACCATCCCACAGTGATTCTGAGGGTGTAGGCTTGGGGATGTCACCACCTTGACTGTCAGCCTCCTGCAGTAAATTATTCCCTTCTCAGAGTTTGGAAAATCTCAGTCGACAACAGCACGAGTGGGAACAGAGGCACGAGGAAACTAATGGTTTCTTCATTCTAGAAAGGATTGTGTTGAATGAGAAAGAACCAAATGAACAAAAACAAGCAAAACCACAACACCACACAAGATCCAGTGTTAAGAAGACAGAAGTTTTGTTGCTGGGGTTTAAATCACAGAGTAAGGAGCCTGTGCCAAGGATCCTCCATTCCTGCTTCCTGGACCAAGGGTTGTCATGGCCCATGCACCCTTTGCACTCGATCAATGGGGCTCTAACTTGGGACACACGTGTAGCCCGTGCAGAGGGAGCTAAGCAGCTTCACCGGGCAAGTGAGCAGCGAGGGCAGAGTGTTGCCGTGTCAGAAGCAGAGTCCCCTGAGGCCAGGCCTGGTCCTCCCCTCCGCCTCCTGAAGCAGAGCCAACCCCCTGGCAGTCTGCTTTACACGTGATGGCTCCATCAGAGGAGATGGGGACCTTGGCTGGGGAATTGAACTTGTGAGAGGAGTCCGAAAAGTTCCTTTGATCACACAGGGAAGGAGAGCGGATTACTGGGGAAACCTGAGGATTTGGTCATTTGTGGAGGTAGAGTCCAGGCCACGAGAGTAACAGAAAGCAGAAATTGTGTTTTCCAAGCTACATCTGGCTTAATTTGTGTCTTGAGGCCTCATCTTAAACTGATCTACTGGAGTGTTGTAAAGGAGATCACGGCAGAGCCTGGGGTGGGCCGTGGAGGGTTGGATTCAAAGGTCGGGATGCTATTGGCAGCAACACCCACACACAGAAACAGCACATTCCTGCACTGGGTTTACCCCGGGACGATAAAGATATGTATGTGGACATGTTCTCACCAGGAGAAGTGTATAAAAAATAAGTGAAGGGGTCAATTTTGGAGAAAGAAAAGACAATACTTTAAAAAATCTTGTTGGAACCCGGCATGGTGGTGCATGCCTGTAATCCCAGCACTCGGGAGGCTGAGGCAGGAGAATTGCTGTGAGTTCGAGACCAGTCTGAGTTACATAGTGAGCTCCAGGTCAGTCACAACTATATAGACTCTGTCTCAAAAAAAAACAATCTTGTTGGAATCTTAGATATGGAAAGTATGTATTTATGATGTAGAGAACAATATTTTGGAGCACATGTAAACTGTGGAAAGGTTAAATGCAATTAATTAAATTGTGTATTGTAGCAAACATCCCAGCCAAGTACTATCAGGCTATGTGTGCCAGTTGCTCCTGGCCTTCCCTAATCCGGCCGTACTGTTTTATATCAGGAGACAGATCGAAGCCCTGCGTGACTCACTCAGACCTGTCAGCTAGCAGAGTTGGGCTAGTGTTGGTCCTTTGCTAAAGTCTGTTACCAAGGCCCAAGTCCTAGTCTGTGGAGCGGCAGGGCTCTGCTGAGTTACATTCAGCTGGATCAGCGTGACCCCAATTAAAGTCTTTTGTCCTGAATTATGACTTCTCACTGACCCTGTGGGTCGTTTGTTAATTATACCTGGTCCCAGTTTCTTCTATCCTAGCAAGATAAGCAGTGCCCACTCCCTGACAGCCCTGCCTGGTGATATACCTGATGCATAGCAGTAATTCTCTAAATGACTTCAAAGCTCCCTAGCTCCTATTCCTTCTCATGACTGTATTCATTAAATGCTGGATGTACTTGGGGGCTTTTGTCTTTGCTGACATCAGAAGCCGAGCCAGTACCCAAAACTCAGCTTCTTCAATGTAAGTCTTGTTCAGTGTATTCTTTAACCTTCGCCTGTGTTGTGGTGGCTCAAAGGAGACTGCAACCTAGTGCAGGGGTCTACAGTGATGTCCAACTGCCCTGGCCCCTACATTGTTTTTTCTCACATAGCTGTTTCTGTGGTGAGAACATTTAACATCCGCTTGGTCAAACCGTCCAGGGTTACAACATGTCACCACTAAACATTGTCGCCATGCTGTGTGACAGATCTTCTCCACTGCTCCTTCCCCTGTGCCTGCGACTCTACACCTGTGACCTCTGTCACCGCAATCTCAGGAAGCCACTGCCTGAGCCTCTGGCAGCCACCACCCTGCACTCTGGTCCTCAGAGATCAACTATTTCACCTCCTCACGTGAGTGAGAGCAGGGACTGTTCATCTTTCTCAAGTCACTGCTGCAGGAGGGGCTGCTCTAGAAAGGCAGAGGTAGAAGTTGTAAGAATGTGGAGGAAGGGGCATGCTGTTGGTGTAAAGGCAAGAATTTCCATGATGGAAGCAGGGTTAGAGCGCCTCAAAAGGTTTAAAGTAGAACTTCTCCATGATCCAGCAGTCGCACTCCTGGGGTCCTATCCAGGAGAAGTGAGCAGTGCCTAGAGACATCTGCACTCCCCTCATCACTGAAGCGCTGGTCTGGG